TCAATCTATCCGCATTCTCTATCGTCCATCCTTGCTGCCATATATATACGGGAATTCCAAGAAATTTAATTAAAAATAAGTGAGATTCTTTGAGAAATAATAACCTTTAATGGATACATTTTCGACTTTGGTTCCCCAGCTCGTCGTCAGACTTTTGGGCTTCGTATGACGACGAGCTGAGGAACGAGACTCGAAAAAGTGCACATTAGAAGTTATTCTTTCCGAAAGAATATCACTTATTTTCAATATATATATATATATATATATGTAGTTAGAAAGATGAAGTTCTTTGGGAAACAGCAAAATTTTATTGTGAATTTTCGAGACTGGTTCCCCAGCTCGTCTTCAGACAATGGGTGTGCAAAAACAATTAACTTTTAGCCTGAGTCTAGCAAAAGGAGTCAATGATTGGTTAAGATTGCCATCTCGGGATTGGCTGACTCAGTTTGAATCTGTCCTTAACGATTTTGTATGTGGCATCTAAATCGATATGCCGGTTGATGCATGTCTCATCTGAGTTCATTGCTTCCAGGAATTCGCGGCCTTTTCTTGATTGGCAGGCGCCAACAATGCGAGTGTTCTCCCATGCGAATTTATGCCCAGTGTCTAGTGTGTGCATGGCCACCTGGGATAAATGGTCGCGTCTCTTCACCGCTAACTGATGCTCATGTAAACGGGTTGAGACAGATTTCCCAGTTTGGCCACAATAAACGGCATCACAACTAGAACACGGGATTTTGTAGACGACACCTTTTCTTTCAAGGTAGCCGACCCTGTCCTTAGGGTGCACAAGCTGTGTGCGTAAGGTAGTTGCCGGCTGGTGTGCTACGTGTATCTGAAGACGAGCTGGGGAACCAGTCTCGAAAATTCACAATAAAATTTTGCTGTTTCCCAAAGAACTTTATCTTTCTAATTACATTTCTTGGGATGCCTGTTTTTCAATTTATATATATATATATATCTGCAGCGACAGAGAATGACAGGTGGCGAGGCACTGATGAACTTCGGTTCGATGAAGTGCTTATGACCCATCTGGTAGGCCTCAGTGGTGGACCGACTGCGCCAGGTGCGTCTGTGCGCATGTTTGTGTTTCTGGTCTCAGCTGCTGGTGGTCAGGGTTATGATTGGCTGAATGAAGGCAGAATAAGCCCGAAACAGTGCTGTATCAATCTACCCGCATTCTCTGTCGTCCCTCCTCGCTGCTATATATATATATATGTATATTGCGGCCCTGAGAGATACGTCGATCGCATGTTTGTTCACTTCTTACGGGTTCCTTCAGTTAATCTCAACCGCTGACCCGTTTGATCCAACAGTTTGCATCTAATAGTCACAAGGTGATAGCTGGTACAGTAGCCTACGAATTGGACGACAATTTGTCCCAGGGTGCCTAACCCTACCATAATTTACTCCAAAATTATAACAGCAAACTTGTTTATGTATTACATGCAGAATTATCTCGCTCGCCATGGCTCAACTATTCCCACCATGGCTGCGATCAGCGTAATAATTTCAAACCCGCGTTGTCAGATAATATCCTTCACAGAATAGTCTCTGATGTTGAACTTTAACAATCCATTAATTCCCTCGCTGTTTGACTGCGGTTGTCTTCGATACTGCGTCACCAAGACAATGGTGATTGGCATTCTGCACATAAACCAGCCTGACAGCATATGAGTTCTGGTCGAAATTTGATCAAATTTTAGCGGATCAAAATCTTTCTTCTGTTTTAATTTAGAAATGCAAACATATTCCCGCATAATCGATAGTACATCATGCCAACGATTATAGTCTGCGCATTCATACGCAGTGTAAGCTTTCAAGTTTCATTAGAAATGACCATTATCTCCTCTGGCATAACTGACAAACAATTGTTCCAAACGTTCTTGTCGGCAAAAGGCATGAGGACGATTTTATGTGAATAATTAGAGGTTTTGGCAGATTTTGAATAAGTCATATTGACGCAACTGTCAAGAAACTCGGCATCTAGGTGGGATTCGAACCCAAGACAACAAGGGCGGTTAACTTGAGCCTGGAAGTTATCTGGTGGATTTAGGGTAGATAACGTTGGAAATCCTGACTGGGGAGTCAGCTAGCCGCATCATATTTGGTGGATTCCAAGCTTTGCAGTTGTTTCGACGGGTAACTTAACTCAAACATGATTAACCTCACGTCTCCCGGTGGGGTCTCTTAGCTCAGGTGGCTAGAGAGTTGGCTGTACTAAAGTCTTCTCTCGCCGTCATCGGTTCAAATCCCAAAGATCAAAATTCGATCAAAATTGTTTTTTTATGATATTCATAGTTTGAAGCTTCTGAAAGTTAAAATTCCTCTTGCATCCTTCTGGCCAGTTTCACGGTTGCAGTCGGCTGATCGAGCACCTTTCACAACACGTGAAAGTGAAGGCGAGACAAAAGGATTCATTTCGTCTAGAAAGATGATAAACTACGTCGAACTTTCATTCCTGGCACCCGGACTGTTTTGTATACTAACGTAAATCTATCGAAAGAATTAGCCAAAAGTCTGAAACGCCGCGCATAAAATCAATAGAAGAAGCTCATACTACTTAGGTCGTCACCTTCTTGGGAGTATAGTGTGCACAGGCGGTCGGTAAAAAACGTGTTCGGAGGCTGGTATCCACACATTACTGGAACATCTTAACGGTATGGGACATGATAACTAATATGACAACCCTACTTAAGTAATCTATTGAAACTGATAACGCATTTCAGAATGTCGGCTAACATTTCATGAGATGGCCCGTATACTAGGCGTTAGGCGAAGTCATTTTCGACCGCAAAATACACATTTATTAGTGAGGGCTTTTGACTATTCTCGAGTTTAATTACGTTTTGAGACACTAATTTGCCTGCTTTAGATTCATACATTAATTCGGCCTTTTAAATCTACATTTGAGTGGCACACATATGATAATTTGCAGACTTGAAGTACTGAACGCCTGTCGCTGCATACCATGTCGGTACATTTCGAAGAATACGTACACAACCTTGGCTTCCTGACACTTTAGAATGTCATTGTAGTCCTAGCGAATGCGACGTTTTACACTTTTAAAGTGAGTCCCTGTGTGCGCTTGCAAGATTGCAGCGTATACGAACAATGTTCAGCACCATGTGGTCTCTAAAGGGGAAAGGCACCAATAGATGTCGTGTATTCCGTAGAGAAACGTAGTGGTGATCAGAGCCCCTAACTCCGCGGGGATGTTGTGGACGTGAGAAAACAAGCGTGGTGCGAGATTTACTCAGCGTCATCTTGACCAGTTGATTGGGTGTTGGCCGAGTTTGCGAGCGTCTGTGATTGGCTCTGGCCGCTGGCGAGCCCTATCACATGATTTCTAGCGCGCTGTGGACACCAGAATTGGAAGGTGATCACGCGTGCTCGAGGCGGATTTACACCCAATTGGTATCAGAAAGGAACATCCGCTTTCTGTGTGTCTTCAAGTTCAACTACTACGGTATTTTGACATGCAGTGATATAAAATGAATACGCTAGCAACAGCCGTAGATAGATAGATTGATAAATAGATAGATATATAGATAGATAGATAGGTAGGTAGGTAGGTAGAGAGAGAGAGAGAGAGAGAGAGCTAAGACTGGCTGAGACAAGGTCTCCTGGCCTCTTTCGAGTGGAATAGCACTCCTAGATTGGAAGTATGGCGCACGGTCACCTGCAATACAGCAGTGGTGTTTTTAGATATATTAGAGTAAATAATCCGATAAGTGCCGCATGCTTGTTTTCATATAATAAAAAGAACGCTATGTAAGCTGATAGTACCCTCAGAACGAGTCCTCTGGATATGCGCTAGAACACACGGTGCTCATATCAGCGCGCGGCGCTTGGCAACAAAGCTGACCAGATTTGGCGCATCACAGAGCAAATTGTAAGTCTATGCAATGGCCGAACGCAGCTTCAACCTTCTGCACTAAGTCCTAGCGTCTGCTGGCCGACTGGCTAGAAAAGCGGTCTGGCGCATGATAAAGGGAAGAGGAGATGATGTCGACTCTGTCGAATCCATTTTCATGGCACTTCAACACATTCCCACGGCAAATCATCCGACGAGCTACGAAATAATCCAGACAGACTGAGTAACGTGGCCGTATCATGACGGAGAGTCAGGCTCCATCTGAAGGCTACCTCTGTGGCGTCCCCCTAGACGGAATGCGAGTCGCCCACATCTTCGAGAACTCGATACATGTCTGAGGCACCGGGCTATGTGGGGCACGCGTAAACTGGCAGTTTACCTTTCTCAATCATTGCGCCTGGGTCCGCCTCCGGCTGTCCCTACACTGTCTTCCCACCAGGCTCAGGTGAAGGAGAGACGAGAGTACGTCAGATGCTGTGAAAGTCTGCTGTCATTTCAAAATAATTCACTTTCAAGCCACCGTCCCTAATCGACCATGCTCTAGATCGTATGGTGGACATCGGCGTTCGCGACGGCCGAACTGTCCTATACGAAATTACTTCGGTTCTCCATCTAGGTCTCCGGCAATCGCATTTTGCATCGACATGCATTTAATCAGCCCACACGTTCTTAGACAATTAAGGTTAAGTATCTGGAAATATGTTACATACATCGACTCAGTGACACACTAGTTTTTGGATTGGTTGTTCGGTGATATTGCCCATACAAAATCTACAAAGCCATCACATGCCTCCTCTCACAACAGTCTAACGCCCAATAAGCGCAAACCTAAAGCGGGGATGCAAAGTGAAAATTGGCGCCAACTCTGTACTCAACACCCGCGCCACAAGAGGGAGCCGACCAATCAACGGCGACTTCAGGGGTATTTAAGCAGCCAAAACTGGAGAGTCAACATAGCACCATCGTCTCTCTTCTCGCGATATTTGGAGGTGAGCTCTTACACGGTACTTTAAGGGGCGAAATGCCTCTCTTGTATGCAAGCGAGCTGTGCAGATACAATATCTTACTCCACTTGCCTAAACGCATTGCGTTACATAGTGTTTTAGATCGACGGGCCAACGTGATGAAGGTCTTCCTGTTTGGTATTCTACTCATTCTTCAATTTGTCTTCTTTGGTAAGTTCCACCAACTATTGGCCTATGATTATTCTGCAAAACCCAGCGCATGAAAGTATGAAACGTTTAACGGCACCTTTTCTCCATGCATAGATTCTGCTGCTGGGAATAGTACTGCAACTTCTGCTGCGGGATCATCGGACTCAACTGTGTCTTCTATTGGCGGCGGCGTCGACAGCTCGGACAGTACCGACGATGGTTCTATAACGACATCCGGTGCTTCGGCCTTCTCGACGGCTTACTTCTACCTCATCCCACTTCTACTTGCCCTGTCTGCAAAACTTTGTTAATTCAAGCAATCGCATGGCTGCCCCTGGCGATACGCATCTCATAAATGGAGTTCGCTTCTTCTTTACACTGTTCATAAAAACGACATCAGATTTGCAATAAATAATGGCATGAACACTGGTGATTTCACTATTTTTCTATAATATCGCGGAAACTCGACCAGTTGAATTAGCGGGAAACTGGTCTTTGGGAGCGAAATCATAAAGAACATAGCGTTCTTGCTAAAATAATATATTGCAAAGTAGCACGCTGTACATAGATAGTAAATCCCCCATAATGCACTGATCATTGTCGGACATGCATTACGCATCTGGTCTTAGTAAGCAACAGTGGTGCCATTAACAGTAGCAAGATAAGTGACGAATATACTGGCAAAACGATCTCCTCTGTATTCCGTCTGGTGAAAACCAAGTCCTGTCTCATGCCAGTTCTGTTTGGCTAGTTTTGTGCTACAATGGGCGAGTATACATGTTAACTCGACAGGGGCCGTAGTCAACGTGCGGAGAAACAGGCATCTAGCTATTTTGCAGGCATAACCGTTATGTCGATAGATGACGTTTCCAACGTCTCTGCGCAGGAAGCCCTACTGTGTGAAATATCTGCTAATGTCTGCGACCTCCGAAGACATCCGTGGCGTCGTTTTTGGCGACGACGCCGTTCTGCTTCATGCCACTTCCGCTTGATCTGTCTGTAGAGCTCATCTGATTTGGCTGTGTGGGCAACGTACGCGCCCATCAAAAGTTTTCTTTTAAGGTTTGGCAATTCTTTTGTTAGGTAAATTTAAAGGGATATTCGTCTGAATGGTATAATTGCATATAAACGCTCCTGGCAGCGACGGGGTTCCAAAGGTTCCTTGAAGGCCCTGAAATTTCTGTCAATTGGACTGATAGTAATACGTTTTCAAAAGAAACTAAATGTGAACGGAATCGGGTTCGAGCGGAAACAACAGTTTAACTGTTTCCGCATTTCCTAGGAGTGAAATCGCGAGAAATGCATTGGTGTTGGTAGAACGCACGTTGATCTTGATGTCAAATTAAGAAATTTGGACCATCGCTGTGTCTTCCGTAATCGTAGTCTTGCGTCTTTATATTGCATTTCTGTTAAAGATGGCAATGTGTACTGTGTTATTGTGTCGAAACGCCTATCCGTTCACGGTTCTGAGGCACAGTAACTGGCCCCAACAGAGGCGGAAGACAACTCGTTGACGCAATGAGGACGTAGGAGAAAACAGACAACTAACTGTATTATATGTATACGCGTTACGTCCATAAATGCCGCTCTTAACGTCTCTACCCAAAAATCTCCGATGAGTGAAATTCCACCTTATTTTACACACGATCGTGTGAACTCTTTCCTAACTACGACCAGCAGTTGAGTCCAGACGAAGAAATAATAAAGTGCCCATTTCGATTTCTTAGTGTGTTAGGTTTCCTAACCAAGGCCTGTTGCTTTTGAGTGCACAACTTTTTGATCTCCTGTAGAAACCGTACTCGGCAAAAAATGACAATGTAAGTAGCATGCACTTTTCTCATTGATTGTCGATAGCCTTCCAACTTCAAATATATTTTGTAGAAACCACGAACAAAAATATGCCTTCTTTTAAGTTTTCGATAGAGAATTACGTCACCTTTATATTTTGTACTCAAAGAAAGAATATAATTGGGTTTTAAAGAAGTTTCCGATTATGAGATGTCTCAATACCGGGCAATGTCCATTCACATAGCATCGTAACTGTCCATTTACCACTGCTCGTCACGAAATTAAAACATATTTCGCATCCATTGTAAACTTTTATTGACTCTATATGTCATCTTTTTAGGGGCAGAGAAGAATATTTGATTTTCTTTACGTGCAACGCATACCTCGTAGACTGAATTCACTAAGCATTAATGCTACGACAGACCAGGCTTCAACTGATTCGGGGATCAGAAAAATTTTAAAACCTGATTATAATTCTTCGTCGAGTATGAAATATAAAGATGGCGTGCTTCTCTATCAAGCAAATGAAAAAAAAAGCATATTTTGGTCGTGGTTTCTGTAAAATATATTTGGATTTGCAAAGTCATCGAAAATCAACGGAAAAGGTGCATGTTCCTTAGAAAGTCATTTTTCCGAGTATGGTTTCTACGGGAGGTCAAAAGGAAGTGCATTCAAAAGCCGAAATCCTGGCGAGTCCGAACTACTGTAGGATTATAGAATATGATAAGTAATATTAACATGCTACCCTATTAATCCTTCCTAGTCGAAAACGCATTTTAAAATTTCGGCCAACATGTCATGAGATCGGTCACTCACTGTAAGGGCGGAGTGAATGGGCTCGTGGTTCTTGAGCCTGTTCTCGCGAAAATGTTCCGAGACTAGGCAGATGACCAGACTTTTCGTTTTAATAACGATAGCTCTCTAATAAGGAAAACTGGGGACTAAATTTAACCTGAAATATGTTGCTGGGGGGACGCGTAGTCTTTAGCACTGTAGGTCTCGACGATGAGGGAAATAGGTGTGATGGGAAGAGAGTGAATAAGAATTCTGACGTCGGCTAGGACAGCGCCTACCCTGCCAAAGACCGTAAGACGCAATCGGATCCAGGATGAGACTCATGAAGGGCAGAATGGTATTACTTGCAATTACTTTTTGAAGCTACAGGGGTACTCATGAATGACTGTGACCGTCGAACGATTCCGATGGACGCAGATTGAGTGGACCATGTGTCCGAGAATTTCAAAGGAGATAACAGCGGACAAACACAGTGACGGGTTATATTAATGATAGTCGCCACCGCTCTGACATGCTTTACGTATTACACGCGTTTAAGTGGATCAGTATTAACTCACCCGTGTAATCGTAGGCAAAGAGTGATCGTAGAAGCACTCTGTCTACGAATACCTGGAAGCCTTGGAATGTATTATGGAATCCAACTGGCAGACACAGGTATTTAAAGAGGCCAAGGGGTTTGGAGATTAGCAAACACCGAACAGTATGCAGACAATGAAGATTCTGTGGTATCTTCGGACAGGGCGAATATTTGTGTTTATATACGCTTCGTATAAGGAACCGTCAAAGTCCCAGAGATTTGGTGACAGGCTGCAATAAGGTGTGGTAACGGTGATCCTGGGCACTATTCATTAATTATGACCAACGGAATCATGCAGTGAGTGAGTTTCCGTAGTTTGCACACCCACGAAGGACGCCTATCTATCTTGCGTACACGAAATTGGCCTTTGTGGTAGCCAGCCATACCGAGAAATCCCTGGAGATTCAACGAAAGGGATGTTATTCATGAGGTCATTTCACGAAGTCAAACTGGGAACGGTAAAGACCGGGGTATTTGACGAGGAACCATCGAACTGAGTTAACCGAGCCGAGGTCCAGGTTATTGAATTGATGAGACGCAAAATATGTAGAGATATTACGCACAGTATGAATGTTGGAGTGATAGTTCACGTCCAGTTTATCCACCGATTTTGTTACTCTATCAGTTTACCGCACCACGGCCTGAACAGGTCCTTTAACTGGAGTGAGGGTCACCTAGGCGCAGATGCGGGATAGGACGGTGTAATGGAGTGTCCGGAAGTTGTCGGTGCCCCTTGCATTCTCAGCTGCTGACGGTCATGTCTGTGGTAGGGGGCGCTCACTGATAGTTCTTACGGAACTCACTCATTCCGTTCCGGTGAGCGCCCCCAACCACTGTATATTCTCGATCGAAACCGACAGGGCAACGGGCTTGTGGCCCAGCGGTTAGAGGCGTGGACTTCAAACAAACAGGTCGCGAGTTCGAGCCTCGGCTGTTTCACACTTCGGGGTAGGGTATGACTGGCTGACGACGGCAAATGAGCCAGAAATGGCCACTCCAGTTTCCCTTGTCTTTATCGGTAATAACATACTGTCTGTATCGTGACTATAGTTATTGCCCTCGTTGATCATCTCATCTTCTCTCTCGCTTAAAGTCAGCATCACCACGTCCCATGCCCGCAGTTGCCACCAGCACTGCACTCTACACCGTTGGTCTAACGGACACAACGAAACACTTCTCCACTTCAGAGGAGACTGCAGTTCGTGAACAACCCTTTTCTATTTCACACTACATCTTCGTTACTCGTTTACACAATTAACGTCTTAGAATAGTCCTTGACGTTTACACTTCCTCTTCTTGTGGTCTCGGCATGTGTGCTCGACATGGTGCTTGCCAAACCTTTGCAGTATTCTTACTGACGAGCAATCGACGTCAAGTGCCTAATCTTCGCGTATGTGCGTCATCGGCCGCGATAAGTCCATCTTAGTTTGGTGAGCTGATTGGATGATAATGGAATCTGTGACTGACTGTACTCGGGGCTGAAATTTGCGAGTGTTCCGTCCACTCCTAGCGCATGGTAACGTGATTCTAAGCGCGGCGCATGTGCCGGTGACAGGAGGCTTATTCGAGCTTAAAGTGCTACAATACCAGTCGATTGACAAGATGGCAAACAGACAGTTGACACCCCCTATGGAAGCGTACACTCGCGAGGACATAACGAGTAGCTGCACAGTCAGCCAACCCGGTCTGACGCTCGTTGTAGGTGTTCGGTTTCAGTTGGAGGTGACATATCCCCAGTTGCATTCTATCGTGCCGTGCAACCTCCTCAAAGGTGGATCGTAAGACCTGCATGATGTAACCATGAGGAGTTCAGGGAACACACAGACCTGTGTAAATGAATGTCCGAAATGACAACGTATCGATTCAGTAGAATAATATACGCCCTCTTCTCAGCATATCCGTATCTTCTCATCAATGACGTTAGTGTCACATTTGCGTGAATAATGGTTTTTCACCTAGTACGACGATAATACACGAATGGAGAGAGTATCAAAAGTGAATAAGTTGCTTTGTTTGGCATTGGTACATTAGGCCCTTACAGACAGCGAAGCAGAGTCTCCCAGTTTTAGTTTGCTGATTCACGTCATTCGAGCATTTTTGAGGACATTATTCTCCCCGATTTTGTGCCCTTCACATAAATAAAAAAAATCA